CTTACGGTTGAAAAGGTTGGAAGAAATGGTCACCGTCTAGGCAACGTGTAACATTATCTATCTCGTCTAGCACAGTGACATCTTCAGCCTGCTCGTATGGTGACACTTGTGCAAAAGAGCAATAAGGAGAGAAGGCTGGAGGGTGATGTATGTAAAGACACATGGTACGCTCAAACACATTGAGGGTGTATGAGACTATCAGCCCCCCAGCTGTCGATGTGTCGTGGTCCCCCCGCCCAACATGCCCAGGAATGGAGATACAGGACCGTGAAACACGCTAATTCCTCCATGCTCCGCCTTACACCTTTTTGCGGCGCAGATTCCCGTCCTTCATAACATCCGTCGTAAGCGCGCGTGTCGCGTGCGGCTCCTTGGCACTTTGCCAAGTCCTTTAATTGCGCTCTCAAATACAAGTAAAACGCAATTTCCTGATGCGGATAACATTGGAGGTGCTAAAAAATAAGAACTGAAGATGATGACGAGGGCCAGAACTCAAGAGCGACTCGGCTGCATCACCTAAAATTTTATTCGCATCAGGAAATTGCGTTTTGCTTGTATCAAACTAACGAGTATGCCGTTTTATTTTCATGTTTCGTGGAAATACGCGGCCTCCGAGGGATGTTGCAGACAGAGTGGCACACAGGTTGCTTTTAGTTTCTGACCCTCGTCATCATCTTCTGTTCTATTTTGTAGCACCTCCAATGTTATCCGCATCAGGAAATTGCGTTTTACTCGTATTTGAGAGCGCAATTAAAGGACTTGGCAAAGTGCCAAGGAGCCGCACGCGACACGCGCCAGCTCCGAACGCGATTTTTGATGAGGACGGGAATCTGCGCCGTAAAAAGGTGTAAGGCGGAGCATGGAGGGATTAGCGCGTTTCACGGTCCTGTATCTCCATTCGTGGGTTGGGCGGGGGGACCACGAACATCGACAGCTGGGGGCTGAAGCTCATACATCCTCAATGTGTTGAGCGATACAATGTGTTCTTTACGCCCCAGCGCTTTGCCTTATCGCACGATCTAGTGAAAGAATTAGACGCATGCTGGAGTTATTTACTACTTGCTACTCGCAAGCGGGTGCTCTTTTGGCTAGTAGTGAGTGCATCGCCCTCGCCACATTGCTCTCTCTCAAAACCCAACGTCCGCATTATGATATCTGGAGGTGAGTACAAGGGGAGGATGCTTAGTAAACACAAGAAAGGGGATCACTGTGTGAGACTTTATCATCACAGAATCGTAATGATCATTAAGTTAGCGCGTCACGGGTATTTTTCGGATGTCTTAGGTCGCGTTCATAGCTTGCGACCATGAAGAAAGTGAAGAAGTGCCGAAAGTGCGGAAAGTGCGGAATCTGCAGAAATGCCGAATGTGAAAGAAAAGCAATGGATATGTATCGATTTGACTTTCCGCATTTTCTGCAGATTCCGCGCTTTCCGCGCTTTCCGTACTTTCTTCAAATCGATACGTATCTAATGCTTTTCTTCACTTTCTGCAGATTCCGCACTTTCCACACTTTCCGCACTTTCTGCAGATTCCGCACTTTCCGCACATTCCGCAAACAATCTTCTTCCAAAGTCGGATACATATTCTATTGCTTTTCTTCACTGTTCCGCACTTCCGCACTTTCCGGCACTTCTTCACTTTCTTCATGGTCGCAAGCTATGAACGCGGCCTTACACAGCAGTAGAAGGGTGTAATCAGAAATATTAGGTTGGCGGGAAAGTTCTATCACATTTTTCAAATTAGGCTTTCTTTTCATAGAGAGGCGAGTAGGCGCTGTGTTCATACCGTGCGACGTAGTCGTCAACATCGACGTAACCGACGTTTTCGACGACTAGTTCGCGAAGATTATATACGTATCGATCCGAAACGGACGAAACCGACGAAAGCTGCGTAAGTGACGAAAGCTGCGTAACCGACGACTACTTCACGAAGATTAGATACCTATCGATCCGACGAAACCGACGTTTTCGACGAAAGTGACGAAACCGACGTAAGCGACGTAACCGACGTTTTCGTCGGTTACGTCGCTTACGTAGTTTTCGTGCTTCCGGTTTCGTGTTTCCTGCCGAGTTGCACCATTTTTGAAAAGTGGGCGGGGCTTCTTCAAAGTGGGCGGAGCCTCTCACAGTGGGCGGGGCTTCACGCAGCAGCCCTAAAATGCAAAAATTTTGAAAAAATATCGAAAGTCCGCGAAAAGCAAGTGGGCGTGGTCAGCCTAGATTGCCAAACCCTTTAGAGAATGGGCGGAGTCGGCCATGTGTCAATGCCCGGTCGTTTCCAGTCAAAGTGTTTGTGGGAAACAGCAAAAGCAGAAGTTATGAAACAAGATTTGAGAATCTATGTCCGCGCTGACAAGTGGGCGTGGCCGTCGGGGCGGGGCTCGCAGTGATGTCTGGCATGATCTGCTTGATGATGCCCGCCCTTATAAGTGGTTAATTTGATGTGAAAAGTGAGGGTGAATTTGGTTTGAAAAGGGGTGAATTTGGTTTGAAAAAGGGTGAATTTGGTTTGAAAAAGGGTGAATTTGGTTTGAAAAAGGGTGAATTTGGTTTGAAAAAGGGTGAATTTAAAGTGAAAATGGTATATACCTGTTAACAAATGATGCGACCAGTGCGATATGCAAGGAAATGATACCCAGTTTCATTTTGAGTGGTCATGTAGCAAAAGGCGGTTTAACGTGACAAGAAACGGTTTTGGCGCTGATCATACCTGTGGAATACGTTTATGCATTCAGTTTCTATCATGTATCCCAAAGGCATCTGAGGGCAGGCCTGTTAATGCTGTTTAGTTTCCGTCTAAGGGCACGTGTGGAGATGAACCCTAACCACTTTGAACAAATCATTAGTTGTGAACAGTCAACAGTTGTGAACGGTCAGCATGCCGCCTAGCAATAGCCAAACGCGCTACTTGTCTGCGCCCTCTCACTGCTGGTTGTACAGCTGAGTGAGTGTGTCGTTGCGGATTTGGTATCGACACAAGTGCTGCGTTTTAAAATTGGCGTCTCATGGAGTGAGCATCGAGGTACCATTACCCTACAGCACCGTTTCTGTGCCATTTTTAGCGGAGAGTGGCACGCTAGTGCAGCGGCAGGTCCATTTCACCCCTTACTTCAGGGAGATCCCAGGCGAACATACAAGTAAAATTTGGATGAAGGTCCACATAAGAGTACTCTCACAAATATGTGGTCTGACTGGGAGTCCTTGTTCGGCGAGACGCATGTACTTCTATCTACAGTCCCGATCTTGCAGATTTAAAGCCCGGACTGAAGCGAGTCTGAGTGCTGTCTGCGTTCAGACTTTGCGGCAGCGTCCACCAGCGTTCTGAGCCTCCGGCAGCGTTAGCGATCAGGAAGGTATAGATATCGACCTAGCGCCTCCTGCCAGCGTCCTCAATTTGGGACAGGAGAGTATGGGGAGATCGGAGAGGCTGATATATGAAAATTGCGTGAGGAGGACCAGCTATGGCTGACCTTTTCTATGCTCCCCATCGCATCTCCTCTTCCGGCACTCTTGCCAGACACTGCGCACGCTGATCGATATCCATATTCGTAGTCGCTGATCGCTGCCTGACCTAAGAGAGCCTATGGAACTGCAAACGTACAAACGCAGCCTGATGTCATCTATATGCACAACAACGGCTGAAGACGCCTCTGTCCATCTCACCACTCTCCGCGTCACAGCATATCTAACCCGCCGAAAAAAATCAAAGAGTCCTGGTAGGAATATAGTAGGTGCCGACAAGTTGCTCCAGGTCGTTTGTGCACCTATTATGTACTTTTCACTGCTGATAGAAACTCCCGCTCGTCCCCTTATCATTTTAAGTACATCTAAAAAATTTCGCGTTATCTGATGGCATATTATGCCGTCTCACCATGCGATAAACCCTTCTTCCCTAAGCTTTTTTGAAAGCATTCAAAAGCAACTTCGGACGATATTTTTTCTGGACAACACACAATTGGGTCAATCCGCATCGAGAATCAGCTCGAAATAAATTAACCAGGTGTGGGGTCCAATATATGGTTAGAGAAAGCAGCAATCGCGACCAATGTCAAAGCAAATCGTCCTGAATATTAGTCTCCTTTGAAGAAGAACTTCTGCGGTCGCCAAACTATACTGACGAGGGTTTTGAGGCGTTTTGGCGGCTGACTCCATCCCAAACATCGAGAGATTGCAGAAATGCGAGCCATCTGGTCAATCCACTGTGCGGATATTCTAAACGTCAATTGGAAGTGTGAAATACAACTCGACAAAGTTTGGTGCCCTGACGCGATAGAAATTGGTACACGTCTCGAGTGTTCTTCTCACCTTGCTGCTTCAACGCTATATCTCCAGACCTTTCACAACCGTATATCACCTTTCAAAACATTTCAGATACTCCCTTGTTGGAAATTCGCTTCATCATCAGCGACGCGAGGCAAAAAAGCTTCGTGAATTCGTATTTCTCGACCACATCTATTTTTTCTTTGATGATATACTACTCGAACTGTGCCACATTGGCCAAATGTGCTGATCACAACGGCTTGTCTGATTCGATTGAATCCGATGATATAAAAATATATTATATTAACAATGGATACCCAAACACTGAGAAATTCCGGACAATCTAATATGTAGGTGAAGCAAGCCATTTGTAACGCTGCAACATTGTGGACTTTCTGCTCTAGACTCACTTTTGTCCCTTTCTTTGGGGAATTCGTCGAGTTTAGCTTATAGCGCTCGCTATACAAAATGTTTCAGATTATTAGATCGAAACGAAGAGTCTTGCAGTTTGGCAACACTGGGTATCCCCGAATCGTGCTTCAAATCACGAACAGCTCCAGGCGAACATGTTCCCATTCTGATGTCGTGGCACCAGAATGCGCTGTCAAATCAACAAGCACGACCTTCAAGGTGCAATCGGTATCACCGAAAGATTCACTATCGCAATCCGATGGTTCTCGAATAAAGTGTTGTTCTTACTTGTGCATTTGCCAGTCAAAGGTGTTTAAGATACTGCCCAATGGCATACTTTTCCACTCATAATGTGTATGATGTGGCAGTGGTCCGGAGGTATTCCTCCATAAATTATCCTTCCAGGATGTCATACGATTTACATGCAGCAGAAATACCAGCGTATACGCCTTTCTTTGGATATATGGGAGCTGCGTGTGCACAGGTATGTTCGGTTATGTTCTTCGATCACGCTGAACTAGTGTTCGTCGGCTATAGAACCTAACCTGTTATAGCAAAGTTAAGCCCAGCTTACTGCGAGTTTCACTTTTGTCGCTAGCGTCCTCATTGTCACAATCTACGGGTCGGGGGAGACAGTCTGGGACAATCAAATGGGCGGTGATGCGGGAGGAGACTCTCAATCAGGGTACAGTATGAGGGATGTGCGAAATGGTGTGAGTACGACCCCCCCCCCCGCCTTCACGGCTTTTTCGCCGACGACGAGCAATGAGTATATAGTCGGCGAAAACTTGTCGAGCGGGGTATACAATAACTATGCAACGTATATCCCACGGGCGTACAAAATGCATATAGTGCATATAAAAAAAATTAATACGACCCCCCTTTTCCACAAGAAAAAATCAACTATCAAAATAAATTTGTCTTACAAATACGACCCCCCCCCCTCCCCAGAGCAAAAGTACGGATGGGTTTGACACAACGATGCTGTACCCTGCTCTCAATCATAGTGCACTTCTTACTGGTGCACACCCCACTCTGATCCGGTGGGGAGGAGGGGCGTGATAATAAAAAAGGCTTCACGGTTGCAAGACTACGCCCATACCTCCGCCCATTTGATCGTCGTGGAATTCGCCTTTGAAAGTGTGCTCAACGCGTCATGTGTGCGGGCTGCTCTTCAGCAGCAGGGATGAAGCTGACTTCAGCTTAACAAATACCTACTCAACACACTCTGTAGGTGGGTAGGGGTGTCCACTTAATTCGTACGTGGCGGCGGCTGCTCTTTCAGAAGATATTGCCGTTCTGGGACAGCCGCACAGTCTTGTTCGCTGCGGATGCTGCGGCGCTTTGGGAGAGTTGTGGTTGACCGTGCGCCAGTCTGTCCCTTATGAAGTGGAAACTGGCAAGCAACCAAAACTTATGGACTAGTGGAGAACAGACTGGCGCCGCGCCAAACCTTGTTCTTCTCCCCCCGCCCACCCTCCTTCCCCTAAAGGCCCAGCTTCCGCAGCGAGCAATACTGTGGTCATGTCTTTGTCCAATGACAGCCGCCTTGAATAGAAATATCCTGCAAAAACCCGTCTTTCGCCATGTTCAAATGAAGTGCGCAGCCACGCCCTCCCACCAACGGGATATGGAGTGTGTTACGAAGTCTGAGACAAACAAGAGGAATTCTTTGGCTCATTTCCCTGTGATTCATTTCTTACCTTTCAGGTTTTCACCGTTCTGGGTGCTGCATATGGAACAGCGAAGTCGGCCGTCGGCATTTGTTCAATGGGAGTAATGCGTCCCGAACTGATAATGAAATCTGTAATTCCAGTCATTATGGCTGGTATCATCGGAATTTATGGCCTCGTTGTTGCAATTGGTATTGAAAGGAAAGTTGGTGCGGCCAGCTCGGGATATACTCTTGGTCACGCATTTGCACATTTCGCTTCTGGCCTCACTTGTGGTTTGTGTGGTTTGGGAGCAGGATACGCTATTGGGATTGTTGGAGATGCCGGAGTACGAGGAACAGCTCAA